TGTGAAATACTTCCAACTACAGAATACTGCGTTCTATCTCCCGTGTGAACTGGTATAATAGGGTGAGCAATATTGAGGTTAGGCTCCGGTCGAGTGCTAGGTAAGGAGGGGAAATCAGTCGACGAAACGGTGAAATTACTTCGACTGAGATGGTCAGGACATGTGTTACGTATACCTAATCATCGCCTTCCTCGGCTGACGGGCAATGTTAGCTGATATAGGGTCAGGTTGGAAAAGAGCTAGCGGCGGTCAAACGAAAACATGGCACCAGTCAATGAAATCTACAACAGTTAGTCTAAGCCACGCAGGAAGGTGTAGACTGGCTTCCTGGTTGGGGTCCTCGGGATGGTAAAAACCAATGTTTGGAAACAATTGGTGACATGGTTCAAAATCGTTGTTAATGGCTGGCGCAGATGCATCCACTCCTTGTGACTTATGATTTCCAATGAAACTGTTTTATTCTTCGTTATTACTATACCTTTGTCTCACACCCCTGTTTACTGTCTCTAATATGCATTTCTCCTACTTTCTTCTCTTGCTTTGTGTGCTACAAAGAGGGAGTGTGGCGACTTGAACTGACGCACATATGTGCAAAGTTCTATGTCGAAAACAGACAGACAGACAGACTGTAGATCAAGGGGCACTGGGTAGTTGCTCTTCCCCTCTTCACTACATAGGATCCTTACATCGACTGACTGTAAGACCACTAAATTGTACAATAATGATACCTGATGACAGATAGACCATCTGATCACCTTGGAAACTATTAGTTTCTAGTCCATATAGGAATATACTGTTGAGTAGACCCAAAGCAGGATAAAATGACTGTCCAGTCTTATTTCACTTTTAGGAACTCAGACATTTATGTATGTATACATGGACTGTTTTTCCAGTGAGTAGGTTATGTTACAATACACTACACTATATTGATTTTCCTATGGAATTCAATTCATAAATAAATGACTGACCAAGATATTATTATTATTATTATTCCCTTGGGTTCCTAGTGGAACATAGGGCTTCAACTGCACGTCCCCACTTGCTTCTGTCTTCTGCTGTACTTTTCACCTGCATCCATGTTAGTCCATACTGTTTCAGCTCCTCTTCACACGATCTCCTCCATGTCACCCTAGCACTGAATCCCACTCGCCGCTTCCCTTTCGGGTTCCACTCGAGCCATGGCCTGACGCGCGATGTCACCCAGCGGCCTCCTCAGCCACGAGTGTCCAATCCATCTCCACTTTCTCCTGCATATTTGTTGAGCGATTGGTTCTTGTTTTTTTGTTCCCATAGTTTCTTGTTGGTGATTCTTTCCGGCGGGAATCTGATCTTCACTAGTAGAGCGAAGACAGTTGTTGATAAAGGTCTGCAACAGGCTGTTGGAAATATTCTTTGTGACACACTGGCCAAGTTTCTGATCCATCCGTATAGAAGAAGTGACTGACTTGACGTTTGTATTGAAAATCCGAATTTTGTTGTTGATGCAGGCTGAGTGAAGAAGATTTCCAGATTGGTTTCAGGTTGATGAATGTGTTTCTCGCCTTCCCGATTCTCGATTTGACATCCTCGTCCGTTCCACCTGCCTGTAGTTGAGACAATGCTCCCTAGATAAGTGAATGAAGTAACCTCTTTCAAATCCCTCCCATTGATGGTGATTGGCGCTGGATGTTGCTGCTGCTGTTGTTGGTTGGTTATTTTCATAACCTCCGTCTTGTCTACGTTCACCTGGAGTCCTGTCTTCTCTGGCTGCTTCTTCGACCAGTTTGTCGATTTTCGCTTGTAAGCCTTCGATTTCGTGTGACATCATACATAAATCATCCACGCGCGAAATCCAGGTCTTCTAGATTCTTCATGTTGGTCCAGTAAATCCCTCTCTTCTCGTTTCCCACTGTACGCATAATCCAGTCCCCTACAATTAGGAATATCATTGGTGATAATAAGCACCCTTGTCTGACTCCTGTGTTTACTCCAAACGCCTCGCTGAGTTTTCCGTTGTGGATCACTTGACATATGCCGCTGTCGTACAGTTGTTTAATAAGGTTGATGAATATTTGGAGTACGCCGTAGTACTCGAGTAGTTTCCAAACTACTTCGCGGTCAACGCTGTTGAAGGCCTTCTCAAAGTCTATAGAGTTGAGGTAGAGATTTGATTGCCATTCCATGCTTTGTTCTGTGATGATGATGCGTAGAGTTGCAATTTGGTCAGAACATGATTTGCCTATCCTAGATCCAGCTTGTTCCTGTTGGCGCAGTTCTGTATCCAGTGCGTCCTTTGTTCTCTGCAGGATGATGCGACTCAGATAAATACTAACATATTTCTAAGATTTTTAGTATATCTTTTTTGTGTTAAAGTTTCTCTAGCTGTTTGATAGGTTTGGTGGTGTAGGGTTGCTAGCGCTGCGGTCAAACCCTCCCTCTTTACCTGGGGTTGAGACGGGTTAGGAAACTAGCAAGCTAGTTAACTAGTTGGGGTTAAAACCTGGAAGTACTACCAGACAGCTGTTTCGTCAGCCTAGTTTAGGACTGTTCGAAGCTAGGACTTTCTGGTCACAAGTCGAGCTCGTAGACCATTTCAACAGCTACCCACTTCACTGGCTCCCTCCATACTCAAGATCAAATGGCCGGGAGACCAGAAAGAATTAGTAACAAACTGAGAACAGACTGGGAACAAACCAACATGCGAGAACCGATCGCTCAACAAATATGTTGGAGAAAATGGAGATGGATCCGGCATACGCCACTGAGGAGGTCGTCGAATGACATCGCGTGCAGTGCAGACCAATGCTCGAGTGGAATCCAAGTGAGGAGGCAAGAATGGGTCGTCTTTTCGAGGGTGCAGATTGTGCGTAACCTTTTGAACTTCGCAGTTTATTTAATTTAGACAAGGTGGGGTTGCCAGCCTCCCGGCCAAACTTCCATCTCTCTCTCTCTATCGGCCTTACTATCGATTTAACCAACCAGGTTTAGGAGTGCGTCGGCTGGGCATCGAACACGCCTGTATTTGGTGAGCGTTCTACTTGATTTCTAATAGACAGTGACTTGTGAAACCAAAATTATTATGGAACTGTATAAATGCGCTAAAATTTATAATCTACAGAAACAGTAGCTGAATAATGCGAACCCATGACCTTGAATCATAATTTAAATCACTAGATACCGCTATAATCAAATACTTTTTGACTACAATTAAATGTTGTTTTATGGAAGCATTTAGTAGCTAATTATTTAACCTTCATTAAAATCCTTTTTCGCCTACTGATAGGAACATAAAAGTACACAGATATCAATTAAAATGTATTTAGTGTTGTCAGGCTGGGATTTCAGTTAATCGCTAATTACGCATTAAAGTATTTCCACCACCCCTTATCGCACGCATATTCTTCAAACTTATAGTCATTATTATAATTATAAAGGCATGCATTGGATAAACAGTATGCTGGTTTTTTTTACGTAATTACTGTCTTTGTTAATATGAAACTGGCAATCTCTGTCACCAAGATTCACTCAAATCTCCATTCTCCAGTTTGATATAAGGGTATTTAAACTGTTGTGGAAATGTTTTGCTTGCCTCATCCCACAATCCTAGTGATTTTTTTATCGATTTTTTTTATTCTTTTTCGTCCTGAGTGGAACATAGGCGTTCACAATGGCCTACGTTTTCTAAAACTCACTCCCAAACTTCAGGTTTGCAACAAGCTAAGTAAAGTAAGTTAAAGGTTTGTGTCGGTCAGGACTCAAACCCTAGACCATGTGAGGCATGGTTGGCGAGCCAATGGTCCAAGGAAAACGGTCTTACCTTAAACCCCTCCAAATGCCAAACAGTCAATTTCACCTTTAGGCATAAATCCGACCTAAACAAACTGGTCGGCTCTCACGAGGTGTGCAACATAGATGGCAATGAAATAGAAACCAAATCGGAAATTAAATACCTAGGCGTCATTCTATCTGCTGATCTCTCCTGGTCGTCTCATATCTTGGCGATTTCCAAGAAAATATTCTGTCTTACCTTCTACATCAAGAAGTTAAAACATTCTGGTATAACCCAACCCTTACTCCTACAATTCGTTAACTCTCGCATTCTGCCTATTATTCTCTATTGTTCCCCCTTAGTTTTTCCCGGGCTACTGAAGAAAGACTATAACATATTACGCAGGATGTGAAAGGTTGTCAGCAGGGTAAGCAACGTGTCACTTAACCAGCTTGTTAATATTCTGGTTGACAGGCAGGCACATGCACTCATATGAAAAATGGGCCAAATCCATCTTATCTAACTCACACCACCCTCTTCACTCACAACTCTTCCCTTGCATCTCATCAGCCGAAACCAGAAGCCTATATAGGAAACTATATGCTCGCACCAGCAAGTACAAAAACTCAACCATACCCTACTTAGGTCGTGTTCTGTGTGATAAAGAAAGCATTAGGCGTGACACCTATAATTCATTAAATAGTCAGTAGAACAACTGGACCTCATCTTTCCAACTCATATCATTTATAGGTACAACATTTTCTTTCTTTCTTTTCCTTTTCTCTCTTTTTCTTTTTTTTCCGTTATGTGCTGCTTTGTTTCTTTCTCTCGCTTACGCCAGTAAATATGATAGCACCTACTTTTCTAACACCTTCAAACACTGTTCAACTTTGGCTTTGCTACCGACATACCAATATGTTGTTGTCATAATGAACTGAGATTTCCTTAATCTATGTAGAATTCTATTTATTGTTAATGTACTAACTGGATGCAATACTGTAGTAAAAAATGCTGAGAATTCCATTCTGTATCACAAGTACTGTTTTGGAATAAAGCAAATTATTGTTATTATTATTATTGAACCACTGAAAGGTTTCAGTGTCTGAATGGTCCACAAAACATGCCTTGTATATCAATAAAGTCTTAGGTTCGAACCCCGGTGTCAGTTTTGTAATTAGACGGCATTCAGGGAATCTAATTCATGATATATATTTTTTCTTCTGTTTACCTCCTACAGTGTCCGAACGCATTTATGGCTTCAGAATTTCTTCAGAATACTCCTGGCAATAACACGTCAATGCCTAGTGGTCGTCCTGTAATTCAAACAAAACCTGGTAGCTCCATAACTCGGTCACAAGAATCACACAATCGTCGATTATGTCCTCGTATGGGTGTACAACACATCAGAAGTAAACAAGTCAGCCTGTTGGATTGGCCACCTAAAGCATCATGTAACGATGGTTCCAGCGTTGACGAAATTGGTACAGTGAACAGCTCTACCGTATCGAATCGGCTCAAAAGTAGACCTTCATTGTTGTTGTCAATTCATGAACAAGATCAATCTCAACCTGGGAGAAATGGACAGCTACTTCTGAATAAAATGATACCGACTAAAAGACGACCAATAAAAGCTAAACACGCTATACATAATGAAAATGTTTGTCAATTTACACAGTAAGTTAGTTTTACGAAAATCAGGTGAATTTTAACGTTTCCTCTCTACTATTATTATTAGAATAACAATAGTAATGAATAATAATGACGATACCCATTACATGGAGGATTTCATCATGAGCTGCCATCAGTTAGAGAAACCCTGGAAAACCTGGGAGTACTGGACAGCTGCTTCGTCCTAGTTTGGGACTCTTCCCTACCAAACCAATACTTGAAAATTAATCTGATGCTCACTAGTGACTGGCCCTATTCAGGCAGTTAACCTGGGGTTCTAGTGGGAAGCCGTGACCAGTAGGGTACAGCAGGTTGAAGATGAGGCAGTAACTCATCTAAGAAGACATTGCGAAATGGTCGCGCTATGTCGTGAATTGGCAGAAGTTAGAATTCAAGGACCATTGGATCGGGTCCCATTGGCTCAATGGTCTACGATCTCGCTAGCCTTGTAACCAGAAGGTCCTGGGTTCGAATCACGGTGAGCGCATACTGCTGAAGAGTCCCAAAATAGAACGAAACAGCTGTCCAGTACTCCTAGCTAGTTTTCCAGTGGTTCTCTAATTGATGTCAGCTGATGATGAAATCCTCCATGCAATTAAACAAAATCCCTACCAAACCAATACTTGAAGATACCCATTAGGTTTGTAGGGTTTTGCCTTTCTCCAAGTTTCAAGAGAATCAATGGAAACTGGGAAATATTGGACAGCTGTTTCATCCCATTTGAGACTCTTCAAAGGTACGCATCCAATACGCTCACCTGTAAGGCCCACCTAGTTAGGTATGAGGACAAATGCTATTTTTACAGTAACAATAATGATTATTATTAATAATAATAATGACAGATACCACAACATCTGTCCATCTTGTTTCGGTTGACTAACACTCAAACTGCTTTTGATTGAACACTAGTCAGTAACTAGTGTAATGTGTCTAGTCCTAACTTCGGTGCAGAGTGAATTCTATCCGTCAAGCTTGCAATGTGGTCACCATGCTACTAGGTGGCTCACCATTACAGTGCACTGTGGATTGTTGGTATTATATGGTTGGAGGCAATCTGCAGGAAGCCTTGGACACCACCTAGGTTTCGTGCTAGTTGGAACTCATCAGCAAGGAGTATCAGTGGTAACGTCTCTGACTGCAGGCGGCACTAGGTGACGCGGGTTCGAATCTCAGAAGGTTGCAGATACGCCTTGCTGATGAGTGCCAACTAGCACGAAACCTAGGTGGCGTCCAAGGCTTCCTGTGGCCGATTGCCTCCAATCATATAATTCAAACTACTGTTAGAAGTACAGTGGGAACCATGAAATTATACCGATCACGCGAAATAAAAATGCAATTTGTGCGACCAAAAGTGTGCAGCATATTTATTTCACAGGATGACAGAAGACGGTGTTTCCATCATACATTTCCCCTAAAGGTGTACAAAGGTTGTGTGAATGTAAATTTGTAGAAGGCTGTGGCTATGACCGACTCCTAATGGAGTGAATTAGAATACGAATCTGGTACTTACTTGACAAATATTACATTTTCAAGAGTTGTTGTTTAGGGATCTGCTTTTCCCCAAGTTTCAAGAGAATCACTAGAGACTAGGAAGTGTTGGACAGCTGTTTCGTCCCAGTTTTGGACTCTTCAAAAGTACACATCCACTACCCTTGCCTGTAAGGTCTACCTAGTGAAGTATGAATCGATAGAAACTGGACTTTAATGGACTACTGGATCGAATTGCTAGTGGCTGAATGGTCTACAAGCTTACCTTACAACCAGGAGGTCGCGGGTTCGACACCTGACGGGTTTGTACTGATGAAGGGTCTTAAACTAGACTGGAGTAACTTTCTAGTATTCACTGGGTTTCAGTGGTTCTCTAACTGATATCAATTCCTGATCAAGTTTGTAGCGCATAACGTTTTTAAGACATCTAACTATATATTTCCATAAATGCATTACCTATAAAGACTTAAATTAGAATTAAAGTTATATGACGAAATGACTTAGGTAAGAGATCCACTGAAAACCAAGGAGGACTGGATATCTATTTCGTCCTACTTTTGGAACTCCCTCAGCAGTACTCACCTATGATCTATTCACTGATCGAAACTAGGGTCTTTAGGCTACCAGGTGAGAATTCATTAGTTTAAAAAAATCTAAATTTGAATAACCATGTTTTTATTAACTACGTCTTTCTGGTTACTAGGGTAACGAATCAACAGACTGTATTTACCAACGATCATAATACAACCGGTAATAATGAGAATGACTTACGACATTCAGGCTGGGATATGCAACAGCGTCTGAATTCCCCAGTGTGTTTACCATTGACATCCTCTCCGTTTTGTATATTGTCCCCGTGTCAAAATGATGCTATTTGTACTGATCCTGTAGTAAGAAGGCGAGTCAGCGCTGATGTTACACCAGTATCTGCAGGAGTTAAACGAATTATCGATTATACTGACGGTAAGTAGCTGAATTTAAAAAAAATAATTGTAGTTTTTATCCCATTTATTATTATTATTATTGTAGAACTGGAGCATTCAGGGGTGAAATACTCACTAGCTACGTAAGTGGTACGGGTATGATCCTCGGCCGACGCACGTCTATTAGTGAACTTGAAGCGGAGGACAAGTTAGCTCCCACCCACCCCATAGAAAAAATGCATCACCGTTACTAGAATTTCAAAAAGTTTGAGACACAATGTCCTTTCTGAGCATAAACGAATGAGAAGAAGGGAAGTGAAGTACTCGTTTGAGCATATGGTATTCCCATCTTGTTGATAATTCTGCTTTAGTCAGACAAAAATTGTTTACCAACACTTGGATATCAATGAGATGCTCACTAGAGACTTGCCCTATTCAGGTAGGTAGTTAGTTACCTGGGGTTCTAGTGAGAAGTGGTGACCAGTAGGGTGCAGCAGGTTGGGTGTAAGGACAAATACTCGCCGAAGACATTGGCTAGGGGTCGTGCTATGTCGTGAATTGGCAGAAGTTAGAATTCATGGGCCATTGGATTGGGTCCCAGTGGCTTAACGGTCTACGAGCTGGCTCTCCTTACAACCAGAATGTCCTGGGTTCGAACCCCGATGGGTGCGTACTGATGAAGTGTCCCAAACTAGGACGAAACAGCTGTCTGGCAGTACTCCCAGGTTTTCCAATGGTTCTCTAACTAATGTCAGCTCATGATGAAAAGCCTGTAAAAAGTTATTTGTCTAACCTCAGCTTGACATATTGTTCAACAAAGCCATTTGCGATATTTACGTGAATATATATGTGTTATTTAGAAACGATGTTCCTCTTAGTAGGATTATCCAGTATTTGTAATATTATTATTATCATTATTATTCCCTTGAGTTCCGAGTGAAAGATAGAGATTCAACAACACATTTTCACTCTGCTCTACTCTCTACTGCCCTCTTCACCTGATTAGCTGAACGATTGCCTACAATCTCTCATCTCCTCCACCACAACACATGATCTCCTCCGTGTCACCCTCGCACTGACGACCCATTGGTCGCTTCCCATTGGGATTCCACTCGAGTGATGGATGGCTTGCATTGCATCAGATGTTATTCGACGGCATCCTCAGTAGCGTATGCCCGATCCATCTCCATTTTCTCCTACATATTTGTTGAACGATCAGTTCTCGCATGTTGGTTTGTTCTCATTCACAGTTTCTTGTTGCTTATTCTTTCTGGTCTCGGGGCCTTTTGATATTGAGTATGGAGGGAGTCAGCTAAGTGGGTAACTGTTGATGAAAGTCTGCAAAAAGCCTGTTGGAAATTCTTTTGATGACACTCAGTGCAAGTTTCTGACCCGTATAGAAGCATTGACCGACTTCACATTGGTGTTGAAAATGCGAATCTTTTTCATTATACTTATTCAGCGCAGAAGATTTTCAAATTGGTTTCACGTTGATGAAGGCGTATCTTACCTTTCTGATCTTGACTGGCTTTCACAACTTCATCCATTCCACCTTCAGTTGAAATGATGCTTTCTAGATAAGTGAAGGGGGTAAACCCTGTTAAATTTCTCCCGTTGATGGTGATTGGTGCTGGTTGTTGTTTCCGTTGTTGATGGTTGGTCACTTATCTTCATCACCTCCGTCCTCTGTGTTCACCTGCAGTCCCGTTTTCGCTGCCTCTCTCTTCTGACAGCTTCTTCGTTTTCGCCTGTAAGTCATCCAGTTTGTGTCACTTAAGACATATACCATCTATGCGCGAAATCCAGATCTTATAGTCTTCTCACCGGTGGTCCATCGTACTCCTGTCTCCTCGCTCCCCACAGTCTGACCCATAATCCCGTCTACCACAGTTAAGAATATCATCAGTGATAACAGATCCAGTGTTTGTATGCAAGGACTTAATAGTTACAGGTTCAACCACAAGCTGACATCATTTAAAGGACTATTCAAAAACCGCTAAGTAGTACTAGACAACTGTCTCTTCAGCAGTTGGCATCCACATAACCTAAAGCTCTCCAGGCGAGTTCATATAACATTCAGCCATTGGGAACCAATACGAAGGCTGTTGAAGCCTAACTCCAGCCAGTTTACGATATATAGCTTGGTAGTTCCCTTTGGCCATGACTTTTATTGATCTATTTGAAACCAATCAGATGAGATTTAGATCGGTTGAAGGATATGTCTCGATGATGCACAAGGCATTGCGACTATTGCTAGCAAACATTCATCATAGAAACTGAGCTAGTCATAATGGACTAAAAGGGGAATAATCTTGTATAGTTTATTATTATTACCTGGGATTCCTAGTGAATATAGAGCTTCAACAACATATCTCCACTTTGTCCTATTTTCTGCCGTCCTCTTCGGCTGGTTAGTCGAACGATTGCCCATAATCTCCTATCTGCTCCTCGACAACACACGATCTCCTCCATGTCACCCTCTCACCGACAACCCACTCGTCGCTTTCTATTTGGATTCCACTCAGTTGATGGCCTTCACTGAATGCGATATCATTTGACGGCCTCTTCAGCTTGTGCTGTATCTATCTCCACTTTCCCCTAAATATTTGTTGAGCAATCGCCACCTGGTTGGTTCGTCGTGGCAGAGTTTCTTATTGCTAATTCTTTCTCGTCGGTCAGCCATTTGATCTTCAGTATGGAGCCAGTCAGCGAAGTGGGCAGCTATTGGTAAAAGTCTGCATCTGGCTGTCACAAACGCTTTTATTGACTCCCGTGCAGTGCAAGTTTCTCACCCGTATAGAAGAACTGACTGACTCACTTCATAGTTGTGTTGAACAAAATCCGAATCTTGTTATTTATGCTGAGGTTAAGTGAAGCATAAGATTTGTAAACTGGTTTCAGATTGATGAAGGTCTGTTTTGCCTTTCCGATTTTGGTCTCCTTTGACATCTTTATCCGTTCCGACTGCCTGTGGTTGAAACCGTGCATCCTCACCAGATAAGTGAAGGAAGTAAACTCTATTAAATCTCTCCCTTTGGTGCTGATTGGTGCTGGTTGTTGTTGTTGCTGCTGTTGATTGGTTGGTGGTTTTCATTACCTCCGTCTTCTCTGTGTTCACCTGCAGTCCTGTCTTCATTGTCAGCCTCTTAAGCCAGTTTGTTGGTTTTCTCCTGTAAATCTTGGAGTTTGTGTGACACTTGAGAAATACGCCAAGTGTCTGACTCGTATAGAAGGACTAACTGACTTGACATTGGTGTTGAAAATCCGAATGTTGTTCCTGTATAGTTTGGTTGACTTAAAAGTAAAATTAATTCTAAATATTATCAAATATGAGGCGGATGGTATTAAAAAAATATTGATTACAAACATTTTTATCTTTCTATTATATAGGTACATCGACACCAGCGAAACGAAAATGTAGTGACTACTCTCCCATTACATCAAATCCTAACTGTATAAATGGGTAAGATGATCGTTCATATATATTGTTTCATTTAAATCCGGATAGTTCTGGGCATCTATTTCGTCTTAGATAGGGACTCGTCAGCAGAGTTCATCCACGATTCTAACACAGGTCGAACCTGGGATCTTCAGGTTTGTAGAACAACCATGTGGACCAATTCAACCATTTGGGCAGGAATTCATTGACCTGTGACTCCTAATTTTGTCACTTCGCTATAGAGCACTACCGTTAACCGATACCACTGGTCACATCTTGTCGCCAGAGATTCAGAAGAACAATCAGTTGGCCGCCAATCGAATGGAGATTAATATTTAGATTATAGGTTTTTGCAGGCATCTGGATTGTATTCAGTATGGATTCGGTGACCAACCAACATCAGGAAGGTCTGGACAGCTGTGTCGTCTTATCTTCAGGCTATTAATCAATGCGTGCTCACAACAGAAGATTCTTTTTGCGTTACAAATCCGCCCTGTATCCATTAGGAGACAGACGGATAGATTGGAAGGCGTCAGCTGGATGTGCCTGCATTCCCTAGTGAGTGATGATGTTCCCACCGAGGCTTTGGCGTTTGAAACTACGGACACTGGGTTTGAGCCTCACTGACTCACTGCGGAATGCAGGCATATCCAGATGATGAGTCCCAACTAGGACGAAACGCGTATCCTGGATTCCACTACTAGTCACCATCCACCAATTAACTTCGGGTAGAATAATGTATTGAAATTTAGTGAAATTTACCGTCATACGTGGTGGCATATACATTTACAAGATTAATTAACCCCGAGGATAACTGATAATTATTGTTCCCTCAAGTTCCAAGTGTGGTGTGGGCTTCAGAAGTACAGCCACATCTTACTCTGTTTTCTACAGTTACTTTTGGCTGATCCCTTGATCTCCTATAAACTTTCATGTGTATCTCCTCCACCTCACACATGATTTCCTCCATGTCACAGCAGGACAAACATCCAACTCATCACTTCCTATTCAGGTTAGACTCAAGGGTCTGGTGAGTAATGTCATTTGATGGTCGCGTCGATGTATTTCTAATTCCTCTTCATTTCTTCCAAAATATTTATCGGGTAATAGCTTCTTGGTTGTTTCACTGCCATAGTTAACTGGAACCAAATTCTTCCTAATTAGCTTATATGCCAGGCTCCTGAGTTATATTAGGAGCACCGAATGACTAAACATCAGTACTGAAGTTACGGAATATGCTTCGCTAGTTAGATTTAGTCTTTCTACACTCTACATTTCTTCCTCCTGAGCGTGTGTGGTTGCCAGAATTAATCAACACATTTCATCTTCATATATTTTTTTCCCTGCTAAATTTCGATAGCAAAAAGCAGACGAAATTTGCAGTGTAAAATGATATCGTCATTTTATTTCATAGGTTCTCATCAGCTGCAGACCCCTACCTGAAATTACAATGGTTATATATATGATAATAACATACTTTAATGTTTAAGTGGTAGTAGAGAAGAAATACTATAGAACTGACGCATCCAAAATGTAAGCATTACAACTTTTTAGTTTAAGTTTTCATCATCAATTTATTCGCTTTCAAAGTAGAAAAGAAGGCGGAGAGGGGTAAGACAAAAAAACAGAGAAAATTAACAAACAATGTTAACTTGTAGATTCACACAGCAACTCAAAAAACAAAAGCAGTTACAGTTTATGAGATTAAGATTTGTTCAGTGAGTTGAGATCACTGAATTAGATGACTCATTAGTGTAATCAAAATCAAAATTCAGTTACCTAGGAAGTGAGAGATTAATCACACTCTATTTCTGTATGCATAAGCCTGGTTAGTTTGAGTCGTTTGATTGCATTCGCTTCGGCAAATCGTAGTAAATTTGCTGTCCTTTGTCTATTCAGTATTTTGAAGGACTTAGAAATCTCTACGAGATGACCAGTATCAACAGTATGTCTGGTAATTGCTCTTTGAGAATATTTACTTCCTTTTAGGCACAGGTTTCTAGGAATATAGAAGCCCTCCTTTCCATCCCTCCAATGTACTTGCTCCCGCAAGTGCACGTTAAATCATGAACGCAGTTGGAGGTGACCTCAGCAGGGTATTTATCCAGTTTTGAGTGGATTATAGTAGAAGTGGTGCTGTATAATGTAATGTTATGAGTTTAGCTGCAGGTGGCAAGCTTCTTTTTATTTCACCTTTCAGTCTTTTGTCAATCTTTTGTGACACTGCATTTCATCTTTATCAGTCCATCGTGTTCCATCGAATGATTTATCCTGCCTAACTGAGTTGATCCAGTACATGTGAACAGTGTCATGATAGTATCTATTAAATTTTTTGATAACATTCTGTTTAAAACTGCAACGTGTTTTTGTCACTTACCCTAAAAAATTAACAGGTACCATAAATCCTCAGAGTATACATCAGAAACAATCCACATTAACGAAACAACCAATTCAACCGTCAATACTTCCGATATCAACTCCAATTCAGATCAAGCGCCTACTAACAAAAGACGAAGTCTTACAATGAAATGCTACAACAAATTCACTAAAAATGTGACAAAACAATTTATTCGTCGTAACAGCACAGGAAGTTCAAAAGTTTCCAAGCCCAATGCCCAACTGAGTGACAATTCAAATCACAGAAAACCTAATATGTTAAATGTCATTAGACGATCTGCAAGACGTACCCTTGGTACTATACGTGATATGCTGAAACCTTCGAATTCATCCACCTCAGTCGTGTCAAACTCATCGGATGTTAATGAAACTAAATATGAATCACAATGTGACGATCAATGCTTTGTACCTCCGGATCAGATCACATCCTTAGCAGTACCTCTGTTAGAAGAAGGTCTAGATGGAAATGACGGGGATCATGGCCTTGTCTACGGCGATTCTGATTCCTCAAATTCTCTACGATATGTCACCTTATCAAAATCTAGTCAAGATAGTACATTCGGTTTATTTGTTACAAAATCTAACCTGGGTAAGTGAATTTCATGTTAATTGTAATTTTCTGCTAAGTTGATACCATTTTAAGTTATTAAGAATGATTTATGCATATTTTTTACCCTAATTTGCGCGTAAATCCCTTACTTACATGAAGCCGAAATGAAGCTGATCTTATGGATTAATCCACATGGGAGGAGTTTTCACTAGCGATGTCTGAACTGCGAATCAGTTTTGCCTTCATCGTTAGATTCGGAAAATCAGCCATGCCTTCAATAAAAGTGAAAAACGAAACTGTGGCTGGTTAATGGACAAAGTTGTCAGCCTTTGTAGTGAGACGTTGTGATATGTGAAGTCCATCCGGACGGCAGTGGGGACAATTACTCACTGGCGATATTGGCTGATGATCGCGCTAAGACAATGAATTTTTAGGAGTTTGAATTCACAGGCCATTGAGTCAGGTCCCAGTAGTTGAATAGTGTGCAAGTTCGACATGTAATTGGAAGGTGCTGGGTTCGAAACCTGACTGGTGAGTACTGATGATGGGTCCCAAATTAGGACGAAACAACTGTCCAGTGATCAGTCCACGGTCAAACTTAAAACTGAAATTGGTAATAAACAGGACGGAAAGAAAGACCAGATTTGAGGTATAAAATGATATCATTCCCTTTCACAAGTTGTCATCAGCTGTAGACCACCACGCGAGATTACAGTGGTTATAAAAAAATGACAATAACATATTACAACTTCCCTCGGCAACTCAAGAAGTTTTATCGATTGCAACCTTACTCAGTGATCTGAAATCACCAAAGGAGAGTTAGAGATTAATTAACTCCCTTTCTGTATGTATAAGTTTTGTTTGAAACGCTTGATTGTAATTGCTTCAGCAAATCGTAGTAAATTTGCTGTCCTTAATATATGTTTAATGTTTTAAAGGATTTGGAAATCTCAACGAAATCACCCAAGGTATCCACAAGATGTCTGATTGATAATTGCGCTTTGTAAATATCTTTTTCTTTTGAGGCACAAGTTTCTTAGTCGAAAAGCAATGGAGTTTTACTCAAAGAAATGCTAAGCAGAAAGACTGAGTAAACCAGTTTAACTTAAGAATTCATCTGTCATGTGTCAACGACTGCAAGACATTTTCTGAATCCTAACAGTTGGCAGAGAGTTTTCTTATTAATTTGAAAACTACGCGCCTTTGAAGGAATACGTATGACTTTATCGAAAGTTCCAGTTCACTTGATTCCTAATGGAATTACAATTCAAGTATTGGTTTGCAGGCATTTGACTGATTGGTTACAGGAATTTATCATGAGCAGATATCGATTAGAGAACCGTTAGAAAACTAGCTGGGAGTACAGAACAACTGTTACGTCAGTCTAGTCTGGGACTCTCCACCTGTACGCACACACCGCCAGGGTTTGAACCTAGGACCTTCCGGTTACAAGGCGAGCCCGTAGACCATTAAACCACTGCGACACAATCCAACGGCCAGTCTATGAATTCCAACTTCTGCCTATTCATGATGTAGCGCGAGGAATGGCCAGCGTAATCGGCGGCGAGCATTTGTACTCACACCCAACCCTACTGTACCCCAGTGGTCATGATGTGGTGAGAGCTGTCTACTAGCCAAATTGGTAGACAGTAATTTACGTCAATGTTTACGTTCCCAAGATTTGTCGTGAGAAAATGTGAACAAAGATTGATTCAAAACCAACCACAGCAGACTTTGCGTAGGCGGATGCAGTTAACATATAGAGGATTTGACAGTCAAGAAACAGTCACAAATAGATGAAAGATTAACTTTACGTGAGAAACAACCAATCGGAAGACTGTGTTTGTTTACTTAAATATCCATAGCAATGTACATGAAAATATTTAAATATGCTTTGATTTCCTTAATAAATGATCTGTTGCCTGACTCTTGCCTTCTGTCGTTACAATAATTTCTCAATAATAACTGTTATTCAGGTAAACACCAACTTTCAGCTGATATTTCGTCATGAACGGACATTATTTAGTTAAATACTGAAAACCATGAAGTATTGGACAGCTGTTTCTTCCAAATCACGAACTATTCAACAGTGTTCACTGACTACCTCTCCAGGCATTCAATACAGAACCTTCAAATTCCACATTTCTCTGTAGAATTGAAATTCAATGATTTGTGAATCCAAACATCTATGAGCTCGAGACACAACGTCACCACTAAACATGATCCCTGATGTGGCAGACGGTACTGGTCAAAACTTCTCATCAGAACTTAAGGACACCTGTTCTGTAGTTATCAATGAGCAGGAAGGGATATTCACTAATCGACGGTACTGAATGAGAACACTGGAGGAGTCGTACGTGTAACTAGCTGAATAGACCCAAACTAAAGTGGTCTAGTGGATAACGCTTTGGCATTTGAAACTGTGGGCACTGGGTTCGAGCCTCGATGGGAACATAATCAGTCACTGAGGAATGCAGGTGCATCCGGGTGACGAGTCCCAAATAGGACGAAACGCGTGTAATCCTGGATTCCACTAATAGTCACCATCTACCAATTAAATACAGTGAAAAAGATCAAAATCCACACAATCTCGATCATCTTGTTGCATTTCATTTACTCTATGAACCATGCTTTCTATATATATTCCAATTTTTTTTTTAAATTTCAGGTTATCGTGTAACACGTTTAACGGTGCGATTAATTCTAAACAATTCAAGTCCACTGCGTATTGGTGATGAAATTATTCAAGTGAATGGAATAGATTGCAGACAATTAGATATTGATCAGATGCAAGAATTATTTCGACAGAATCAAACTATTCAGCTGACAATCATTGATGAATAAATCCCTTCTTCACCCCCACCCTTCAATGCCTTAGACGTCTTGTGCCGCAATGTGATATCCCCTGGAAGGCAGATTGAATTCCCCCACCCCACGCTTCCTCCTAAGACCCGCACTCCTCCGAAAACAGACTAGATTCCAGTGTCATCAAATTCTCCTTTATTACTTTTTGATTTCATTCGCATATTTTTTAACTTTGATTTATTGATTATGTATGCACAGAATAGAACAGATTTTCACCAATGAAGTGTCTTGTCTCTTCTCTAGGTTTTGACCAGTAAACCAACGTATCTATTGGGTTGTATATTGATGTTTCAAAATCTGAGTGTTTGTCATTCTTTCGGATCATTGTAAGCTGTGTACAAATACCGTATATGCGTTACGATAACAGACAATCACTAGGAGATTTTTGAATCCAGCCGTAAAACGCTCGGCAATCAGTCCTCACGTGGTCCGGAATTCAATCCTCGAATCACGGACACATTTCTTGACCTCTCTTAGCCGGCACTAAGTCGCCAAGTAAAAAGACTAGTAACCGCATCCTGTAACCAGAAGGGCCTGAGTTCGAACCCCGGTCGGTGCGTGCTGATGAAGAGTCCCAAACTAGGACGAAACGGCTGTCCAGTACTCCCAGGTTTTCTAATGATTGTGTAACCAATGTCAGCTCATGATGAAATCCTGTAACCTTCAATAATCCCAACACATTTCATCGACTCAGGGATTGACTTGCTACCATCAGGCAATAATAGTCTCGTTGACTTAGAATATGCAGATGATATAGTCCTCCCACCTAGGACTCTGACAAAATGCAGAGTCTGCTGAGCACCTTGAGCTGCAATCTACGAATGTTTGGCATGCGATTCTCTCGCGCCAAATGTAATATGATGTTACAGGATTGGACTACACTGACTTCTAGTTTAGAAGTGGTAGAGCATGTTGACCGCTTCACTTATTTGGGAAGTAGCATCAGCCAGTGCCAATGGATTGATGTCTGACGAAATCTTAGTGCGGATACAGAGGGCTAGTTTCGCATATGCCAGTTTACGCCGCCTCTGGAGTAGACGTGATATCCGACTATCGATCAAAGGGTGTGTGTACTGCCCAACAGTCCGCTCCGTCTTCCTTCATGGCTGTGAGACCTGGCCATTGAGAGCGGAAGACATGAAAAGATTAGCTGTCTTCGATCATAGGTGTCTGCGTTCTATCTCCCGCGTGAAGTGGTATAATAAGGTGAGAAATATTGAGGTTAGGCGTCGAGTGCTAGGTAAGGCGGGGAAATCAATCGACGAGACTGTGAAATTACTTCGACTGAGATGGTTAGGACATGTGCTACATATGCCTAGTCATCGCCTTCCTCGACCGAAGGGCAATGTTAGCTGATATAGCATCAGGCTGGAAAAGAGATAGCGGCGGTAAAACGAAAACATAGCAACAGTCAATGAAATCTACAACAGTTAGTCTAAGCCACGTAGGAAAGTGTAGACATCCTGACTGGTTGGGGTCCTCGGGACGGTAAAAATGAATGGTTGGAAACAATTGGTGACATGGCTCAAATCGTTCTCAATGGTTGGCGCAGATGCATCCACTCCTTGTGACTTATGATTTCCAATTAAACTGTTTTGTTCTTCGTTATTATTATTCCTTTGTCTCACACCTCTGTTTACTGTCTATATTATGCATTCCTCCTACTTTCTTCTCTTGGTTTGTGTGCTACAAGGAGGGAGTGTGGCGACTTGAACTGGCTCACATATGTGCAGAGTTCTATGTCGAAAATCCACCGACCTGTAACCAATAAAACAACTGCGAGTTCATAACTCAGGGCCCTAATTTACACTCGGGACGCAAATGATAAGAATATTGTCACATAGTTTCCATTTCGACAGGTATTGCCTTATGCACCTGTCTGCATAATTCTTAATGTTGTCTACTGACTGATTAGTTTGGATTCTCGAAAGGATTCAAGTCACATGTATACGAATCTCCTGGCCTTATATTTCATACTCCCTTTGATGTTACTTGAAAGTTGGTAGCTGGAGGTGAAGTGACTGACAAGTGCTTCGTCTCATTCTCGGACTCGTCACCTGAGTTTACCCATATTACATTGAGTGTTAATGCGTCTTACCTTGTAACCAGCGGATCCTGGGTTCCAGACCCGTACGTACCTCTGAAGAATCCAAAACTAGACGGCTGCAGCTGATTTCCCCATGGTTCTCTAACGAATGTCAGCTCGTGCTCAGACCTGTGACCAATTGAATCCCTGTAAGTCAACATTTGATAATTCCTGTTTCTCAAGTATTGGTTTTATGGAGATTATGGTGTTTGATTGGTTGGAGGATTTCGTCATGAGCTGACATGGAAAACCACCAGGCAAGCAGCACCGCCAGGCAGCTGTTTCGTCGGTCTAGTTAGGGACTCTTCAGCAGCACGCACCCACTACAAGGGTATGGGCTGGCCACTGTGGAGTTGGATCCCAGTGGCTGATGAATGGTCTACGAGCTCGCTAGCCTTGTAACCAGAAGGTGGTAGGTTCGAACCGTGGTGGTGGGTGCGTACTGCCGAAGAGCCAGTCCCAAACTAAGTTGGCGAATCAGCTGTCTGGTAGTACTCCCTGCCTGGTGGTTCTCCAATTGTTCTCTAACTGATGTCAGTTCACGATGAAATCCTCCAACCAAATAAACAAAATCCCTACAAAAACCAATACTTGTAAAATTTTTTATTGCTACTATGGTAAACCCATTCTTGATAACAGTTTTGATAACATTTCAGATTCAAGTGTTGGTTTGTAGGGATTTGATTGGTTACAGGATTTCATCATGAGCTGACATTAGTTTGAGAACCATTGGAAAACCTGGGAGTACTGGACAGCTGTTTCGTCCTAGTTTGGGACTTTTCATCAGTACGCACCCATCGGGTTCTAGCGAGGTGTCTTGACCAGTAGGGTGCAGCAGGTCAGGTGGGAGGACAAATACTCGCCGAAGACATTGGCTAGGGGTCGCGCTATGTCGTGAATTGGCAGAAGTTAGAATTCATGCACTGGCCATTGGATCAGGTCCCAGTGGCTCAATGGTATACGAGCTTGCCTTGTAACCAGAAGGTCCTGGGTTCGAATCCCGGTGAGTGCGTGCTTCTGAAGAGTCCCAAACTAGGATGAAACATCTGTCCAGTACTCCTAGGCTTTCCAGTGGTTCTCTAACTGATGTCAGCTCATGATGAAAATCCTGTAAAAAGTTATTTGTCTAACCTCAGCTTGACATATTTGTACTGATCCTGTAGTAAGAAGGCGGGTCAGTGCTGATGTTACACCAGTATCTGCAGGAGTTAAACGAATTATCGATTATACTGAGGGTAAGTAGCTGAATTTAAAAAAAAAAACAATCATTGTAGTTTTTACCCCATTTATTATTATTATTATTACTATTATTATTGTGGAACTGGAGCATTCAGGGGTGAAATACTCACTAGCTGCGTAAGTGGTGCGGGCATGATCCTCGTATGACGCACGCCGAAACTTCGCCTGGTTTACTGTCTATTAGTGAGCTCGGAATGGAGGACAGATTCAGTATGAGGCTGGCTCCCATCCACCCTATAGGAGAAAATGCATCACGGCTACTGGAACTTCAAAAAGTTTGAGACACAATGTCCCTTCGGAACATAATAAAAGAATGAGAAGAAGAGAAGTAAAGTACTCGTTTAAGCATATGGTATTCCCATCTTGTTGATAATTCCGCTTTAGTCAGACAAAAATTGTTTACCAACACTTGGATATCAATGAGATGCTCACTAGAGACTTGCCCTATTCAGGTAGGTAGTTAGTTACCTGGGGTTCTAGTGAGAAGTCATGACCAGTAGGGTGCAGCAGATCGGGTGTGAGGACAAATATTCGCCGAAGACATTGGCTAGGGGTCGTGCTATGTCGCGAATTGGCAGAAGTTAGAATTCATGCACTGGCCATTGGATCGGGTCCCAATGGGTTAATGGTATACGAGCTCGCCTTGTGACCAGAAGGTCATGGGTTCAAATCCCGGTAAGCGCATACTGTGAAGAGTCCCAAACAAGGACGAAACAGCTGTCCAGTACTCCTAGGCTTTCCAGTGGTTCTCTAACTGATGTCAGCTCATGATGAAAATCCTGTAAAAAGTTATTTGTCTAACCTCAGCTTGACATATTGTTCAACAAAGCCATTTGCGATATTTACGTGAATATATATGTGTTATTTAGAAACGATATTCCTCTTAGTAGGATTATCCAGTATTTGTAATATTATTATTATTATCATTATTATTCCCTTGAGTTCCAAGTGGAAGATAGAGATTCAACAACACAATTTCACTCTGCTCTACTCTCTACTGCCCTTTTCAGCTGGTTAGCTGAACGATTGCCCACAATCTCTCATCTCCTCCACCACAACACATGATCTCCTCCATGTCACCCTCGCACTGACGACCCACTCGTCGCTTCCCATTGGGATTCCACTCGAGTGATGGATGGCTTGCATTGTATGAGACGTTATTCGACGGCCTCCTCAGTAGCGTATGCCCGATCCATCTCCATTTTCTCCTACATATTTGTTGAACGATCAGTTCTCGCATGTTGGTTTGTTCTCATTCACAGTTTCTTGTTATTAATTCTTTCTGATCTCCCGGTCTTTTGATATTGAGTGTGGAGGGAGTCAGCTAAGCGGGTAGCTGTTGATGAAAGTTTGCAGAAGCCTGTTGGAAATACTTTTGATGACACTCAGTGCAAGTTTCTGACTCCCGTATAGAGGGACCGACTTCACATTGGTGTTGAAAATATGAATCTTGTTCATTATACTGATTCAGCGCAGAAGATTTTCAAATTGACTTCACACTGATGAAGGCGTATCTTACCTTTCTGATCCTGCATGGCTTCCACAACTTCATCCGTTCCGCCTTCAGTTAAAATGATGCTCTCTAGATAAGTGAAGGGGGTAACTCCTGTTAAATTTCCCCCGTTGATGGAGATTGGTGCTGATTGTTATTTCT